TAATAATATTAACTTGAAGATCAATATGATGAAGCAGTATTGTCTAAAGTAACGTTTTGTTGTAATTTTGTGTGTTGAGTTATTTTCTCCATTTGCTGATGGTGAAATTTTGAGTTGGTTGATTTTATTTTGTAAGTAAAGGCATATAAGTTTATAATTTCATTCTGCTCCTTTTTATTCATGACTTTATTTTTAGTTTTGTTTTCCTTGACATTTTGATTTTGTATGCATCGTGTTTTTTTTTCTAGTTTTTATTGGATGACTTATTCATATTTCATTTCATGTTTGAAATAAACACACACACAAAAAAAAACCAACAGCAACAACGATAATAACATTCTGCAGCTCAAGGGAGGACTCCCACCTCCTACAACCTTAAATGGCACTATGACCCTAGATAAATTATTACCAAACAACAAACCGCACGTTTCTATTTTAAACATCAAGAGAAAGACGCTCCGTTCATCCGTGTTTACCCGCTTGTCAAAATCTCGTTTCTGTTCTCGCGAGACTTCTACAAGTTTTCTGMAGCCACAAGTTGTTGGCACACTSCAGAAAAGAAGCGTGACGCTTAACYCCATTAAACCCGGTGGCATTTGTTAGTTTACAGAACACCACCAGGAAAAATAAACAACAAAACACGGAAAACATTTTTTTAAAGCATAAACAGACAAGACAACGCTGACACACTTTATGAGTAATGACTTGTGACAGAGCCACGAGGCAGTGAGTGGAACGGTCTCGTGTTTACGTGGAGTAAAAACATGTAATTGGTTAGGAGGGGGTTGGAGCCTAGAGATGTACACAACTGAAAACAATAAGAAAATATGACTTAAAAACATAAAGATTTTTCAAAAAGGCATTTGTAGTTTTCTTTTCCAAATTGTTTAATCTGAAGTAACAAGAGGAACATGTGAATGAAAAGCGTTTGCTTAAAAAAAAAAAAAAAAACCTAAAAAAACAACTTACCCTATGTCCGCTGCTTGTAACTAATCAGTCTAGATCAGAACCACACTTTCAGGTTTCCACTTCAGCCAAGAGATACAAATGATCCAAACCTCGTTTCTGCCAGCATTAAAAAAAAGAAAAAGAAAAGAAAACTGCTAAAACTAAGTTTCCTGTTGCATTTTCCTCCTGCACAACTTACCCAGATCTGCTTCTGAGGAATGAGGCTGAACGAGGAGGGGGGGTGGCTGGGTGGGTGTCTGCTGCAGTTAGCTACTCCCAAAAATTACCCTGCTGCACAGTAACAAGTCAGAGCTACATGCCCTTCTKGTTCTGTTCATTTCTTTATTATCCTGCTGCCCACACTGGTGTTCAGTGATATACTTAGGACCAGTGTGTTGTGATCATTTCTCTAAGTTTAAGACACACAAGCAGCAACAAACAGGGAGCATGTTGTTCTGTGGAGTCATTTTGCAGACTTGTTATGAGAGGCTGTAAACACTGGAGTGCTTTCAGGGGTAGTTCCCCCCCTCTCAGGTTAAATGAAAACAGTCCCAAACCAGGTCCTCAAAGGAAGACTGTTCTGCAGGAGAAAACCTGCAGGACAGGTTAATCTCCTATTCAAATCAGGTGTGTCAAAACAGGCTAATATTCTTTGAGGACCAGGTTTGGGAACTTTAAAATGCAYGTTGTGCACAATCTCATGCTCTGAACGTGTTTGCATGTCAGCCTTTTAAACTGGGGACTCATCTTCACCAGGGGCTCAAAATTCAAAACTTGGTTTCAAGCCGAGGACCAATTTCTGTCGTTTATTGAATAAATGTTAGAACAAATTATTCTTAGAGAACCACAAATGACCTTTTCCAGATAGTTTTATGTAGCATTTAGAACATATATAACCTAACAGATAAAGAAAAAAAAAGATTACGTTTAGAAAGACATATTAGCGTTCACTTTTTATGACTTACTCTATATCAACAACTTTTTCRTTTTTTTAAGCCGTGGCTTAAAAAAACTTTTTCATTTATTATTTCTTAGAGATTAATTTGATCACAATCCAGCAAATCAGGTAAAAAAACAACAACAAAAATAAATTAKTTCATGTTAAAGCTACGCTTACATTGTGTATTGTGTTCATTCAGCTTCCACCACACCAAATTTCAGTGTTGTTTAAAGTACCATAAAGTGATAATTGAGTAAAAGTACAAGTATCTTACCGAAAAATGACTTTGGTAAAAGTTAAAGTCTCCTTTAGGAATATTACTTGAGTAAAAGTACAAGTATCTTATAAAACTTACTTTGGTAAAAGTTAAAGTCTCCTTTAGGAATATTACTTGAGCAAAAGTTTAAAGTATCTGGTATTTTTTTGTACTTAAGTGTTAAGAGTAAAAGTATTAATTTGAAACGAGCAGATAGATTTTCTGTAAGGACATTTATTAGGAGGTGACCCCCCCCCCCAAAAAAAAAAAAAAAAATAAAAAAATGCAGAAATGACTAGATTGTATTAAAATTTTTAATTGATGTTAAATTTAGGATGCACTAGTCCAGCTGTCTACATCTTGGCTTTTTTTAATGTAAGGAGTAGAAGTAAAAAGCAGGCTGAAAAATATTTACTCAAGTAAAGTACAGATACCCAAAAAAATCTACTTAAGTACAGTAAAGAAGTATTTGTACTTTACAATTCTGCAAATTTTAGATCCATCAATAAGACAGAGTTAAAGCCGTCGTCTTTAGAAGCAGTTAGCTCTGGTGGCCATCTTGGATTCGGTTGTTTTGAAAAGTTGTGTATAGGTACATAAAAGTGTTTATSTTCTGCGAGTTTCATTAAAGTTTCTCTGGGAGTTCATAAGATCATTTGGTAACAGATGTGCTAACAGGCTAAACCTTCCAATCGCCTTTGCCATCTAGTTTTAAAGATCCAWACAGAATTATTTCTGTGAGAGAAATACAAACGCTTGGACTTGCAGGAAGCAGGCCCTGTCGCATTGTGGTTTATTATCTGGCCATTGTGGAATTTTGTTATTGTTCTCAGATACCCTCCCACTCAAGGACCTCTCTCTCCCTCCCCTAATCAGGTGGAAATGTTTTCCCCAGCTGTGGCAGCTGCACTAGAGGTTAATACATTAAAAAAAAGAAAACATTTAAAAGGGAACTCCAACTAGTTGTACCGTTAGACATTTGATTATCATTTACCACAACTATAAAAACGAGACTAGTTTTTAGAAATAAAAATATTGTCACACAGATGTCACCATGCTACTTATGCTGCAAAGCATTTTGAGTAAATACGATGCTTACTGGTGCTCCAGTGCAAGCTCTGCAGCTTCAATGCTAATTTTGCAGAATGTCTGACTTTTAGCCCTTTTAAACAAAATCTGAGCACATTGACAGAGAGGAAAACGTAGAAATGACTCATCCTGAAAATGAAAATGTGGATGTCGGACAACAGATGTGCTTCATGGAAGGAGCATCTTAGTTTTAAGCTTTTAGCTTTTGTGTTAGCTCCCCAGCTAACACCACATATTAGTAAAATATGTATGCCACATATAGCCTATATTAGAAATGTGGCGTTAGCTCCTGAGCTAATTCCCTAAATATCACTCTCATGTTTGATGATTGTGCAGAACATAGAATCTAATGCAAATGAAAATGTTAGATACATGCAATTTATTTTACATGTCAAAAATAGCAGCTTTTAGTAGAATAGAGAAATACAGTACAGCATTACAAATTGTTTGAACACATATCATCAATAAAATGTGTTTATTGAATGGTCAGAACAGGTTTCTTTTTATTAACAAGCAGATTGTGAAAGCAGAGATGGGCATCATCAACATTGTTTGAAAGAATCATTGCCTTTTTTTATTTTTCCACTAGATGGAGGTGTTGGACAAGACTGAGCCAAAACATGGTTCAACACCTGCAAGGAGAACAAAACACCAGATCGCCAGGAAACAAAAGAGCAAGTGGTTGGTGAAGTATGACRAGCAAAGCTGCGAACAAAAAAGGCTGTCTTCATCCTGTAAGAAGGAAACAGTTGTTAGCTACGATTTGCAGCTGCTTGTATTTAGGGACAAATCGATTTCCATCTGTCAGGAAACCGCTGAATATTTACCTGAGTACCGGATGTCTGTTGATGCAGAACCAGCATCTCTACAGACCACTGCAGTGTAAGAGGGAAAATGGCAGTTAGTGAAAATTGCAGGCAATTCTTCAGAAAATAGCACTTTTAGGAGGAAGGCACATGCAAGAGCAAGTTTTGGTGGGTTTGCACTCTTTTTCTATAAACAGATGATTCGACAGAGCAAAAAAAAGTGAGGGAGAAACAAGAGGTCTGCCAAGAGGCTAGACCCAACAAAACTGAAGAGAAGTTCTTAAATTAATATTGCACCCAGATGAGTCTTAAGTGTCCTAGGATGACAAGCAGAGATTGGATTGCAAGCTTGGTAGCGTTTGATGGCCATGCCTGTCAGCTTCACCTGCTTTTTAATCAGTAATTACCATAGGGGATTCTCTGGCATTTCTTAATTAAATTGAGCTAAATGCAATTAAAAATCACACTCCCATTCCTTTAAAAGGACTCTGTGGAGTGCTTGTTTGGTTCTTGCTGTTAAGAGCGTGCGCTCGAATGGTCATAGCACCGTCCCGCCTTTCACTGATCTATGCTTGATTTGTTTTAATGGTCAAATGGCACTTGCGAAGGAATAATGTTTATGTTAACAAATGAGATTGGACAAGCAGATGGCATTGTTGAGCTGTCAATTTGTTGTCCTGGAAAGAGTTTTCAAATCATTAAGGCCTTGTTTTTCCAAAATGACACCATCCATACAAGTCCTTACAAACATGGCACTGCTTCTAGAAACAAATCCACATGTAAACTAATGCTATAGCAGCTAGTTCTGCTAATCCACTAAAAGCTAACAGATTTTAGTAGAAATTATTACATTTTTTTTTTTAGTGGATTAGATTTTTCACTAACTTTGAAAAACATTAGTGGACCAATTTGCTTATGCTAAATTAGGTTTTGCCAGCTTTAAGTCTGCTAACAATTAAAAAAAATGTACGATTCAAATTTACAAGGCAGCCAGGAATGATGTAATTGTGAGTAATCTCTAAAATCTCGGATGTGATTATGTCATCAGGAACAAGACAGCAAAGATGTGTGGCACAGACTGAGTGACAGTTATCTTAGCAGTTAGCATTAGCTACTATAAGCTCCCACTAATTTTGTACTTGTTTAGTACGGAAGCCGAAAGCGGCCGTTTTCCATGTATAATTATTTCCCACGGTTTTTCTACATGAAGGACACAAAGACGTGGGACACGGACTGAGTGACAGKCGTTTTAGCCGTTAGCAATTAGCTGTTAGCATTATCTCCCACTATCTTATCTTGTATGTGTTTCGCAGTTTAGTGTCAGCAAAKCTAGTCAGTGAAGCTAACTTTTTGGTTAGCTGTGCCCACCCGTATAYAATAGTATTTATGCCTGACCTGTATGTGGCACTGTGACACTGCTACTGTGTGGAAGCAGGATTGAAACAATTGTGAACTAAATGTTTTCTCGTGGACAGCCTTAAAACGTTTGTTCGGAATACTCACCATCTTGGAAAGTCTCCAGCGCTCCAAGAGCTGAAAAACACCAACACATCAGAGGTGATTTTCCCATCTGCGGTCTTCATGTCGTCTTTGGAGTCACTGTTGTAGTTACCACAGGCACCACACATTTTCCCGGACAGATTAGTGTCAATAGTGACAGTAACCTCCCGTGAAATGGAGTAGGTGACCTGCACAGCTGATTGCCTTTCAATGACCACCCTTCTGTCGGAGATTTGGACTGATAGCTCATTTGTCACCTGGCTTGGAAGAGAGACTTTCCTTCCATTTATCTAAAAGGAAAGATTTTTTATATTTAAAAATTTTTTTTTAAAACTTCAACTTTATTTTAGCAGACCCTTTTCAGCTCCTCACCCAGGCTTCATGCTGGCTGTTCACCGTCACTGTGGCGTCTTTGAAGAACACGTACAGCGCTGCAACGGCGGCGGGCTCCGTCTTGCTGCAGATCCTGACATCCACAACAACACGGAACCACTGCTTCGAGTTTTCGTCGCACACAGACGCCAACTCAAACGCCCCCTGTGTTTTAACCGTTCCGGACATGCCATCGAAGGAGTCGAGCTCGCCGACTGGGCTGACGCTGCAGTGGGCCTGTTTGATGTGACAACCTCTGATCCCATCTCTTACGTCACAGACCTCTCCGCTGGCACAGGACAGCTTCTCACATTTTACCAGCCCTGAGGCCTGGCACACGCAGCGAGAGTTGCATTCTTTGTCCACCAATGCTTGACCCGTCTGTAACAGGTGTAGAAGTCATTATGTGATTATTAGATGTACAAAGTATTCACTTTTGAAGTCAACCCAAGAGATTTTCTACCACAATAAATATATAAAATTTACACAAAAAAGTGATTTGTGTTTGGTAGATTATTTCTTTGTTGTAACAATGCTTCTTGGCAATAAAGCTTACCCTGTTGGAAAGCCTGTTAATATATCTTTAATTGGTGTCACATTTGTAAGGAACATGCATTTGTGTGATGAGCAATAGAGCTGAGTATGTGGGTTGCCAAATCTTCTCTGGCAAACAGTTTATTTTGCTGTTGCTATTGTCACTTGTTTGAATTTCTGGTACCCCAAGGTTCTGTCAATCAGGTGGCTGGTATAAGATTTATTGCCAAGCATTGTGACTTGTTTCAACAAAGAAATAATCTACCAAACACAAATTTTCTTTACTTTTATTTGCTAGAGTTATCAATTATATGGAGACCCAGAAGTAACATTACATTACTCTTCATAATATCTTTATTTTTTTCTCAACCACAGGGAAATTTGCTCATTTGCTTTTTTGTGGAAAATAGGCACAGCAGTGGAGAATAGCAGCTATGTGAGTTCAACAAATTGACGGGGATGGGGTGGGGGGTGGTTCCACTTGAAAAAAAATGCACGACACTGCCCACGTGACAAAAAGTACACCATCATGTAAGGGATAATGTAAGTCCTTACGTGACGATGTAACTCGTTAAAAAGTGAATAGCTTTATTGAAACAATCTGTCAAATCTGGATCTCTTCAGAGAGCCATTCATCCCATCTCTACCCCCTCTCAGGGGCTTCGTACAATTTTGCAGACATTGAAATAAATCTTTGTTGTAGCAGCTTAAAGCTAAACTAYTATTAAATTTGTATAAAACGTAGACCTGTAAGTTTGTGGATATTAATTCCTTACCGTCAGATATGTGCCGTTGTGCACACACCCACAGTTTTCAAGAGGAACGCACTGGATGCCATCAAAAACAAAGCCAGCATCGCATTGGCATCCTTCAAAGCATCTTTCAGAGCAGGTAACTTGTTGAATGAAGCTGGCACACGTCCCAGTGCAGGTGTCAGCACACACTTCATAGTGACTGTGCGGAGGGCAGGAAGCAGCTGCAACGGGGCAACATTTGCATTTTGAAATACAAGAGCAGGAAACTTAAATACAATGAAAACGCTGTTGTGTGGAAACGTACGGCAGAAAGAGCTGCTCCTCCACGTCTGGATTTGAATTCCTACGCTCTGGCAGGCCAGAGCGTAGGCCTGGACGCTGTCACACAGAGTGTTCTTGTCGCCGCCCGTAGCACAAACATCAAACACACAATCAGAGAGGTACGCGGCAGGATTGATTTTACYGTAGCAGGCTTTGAAAGGCCCGTTAGGTGCACTAATAATGCCACAGTAGTCAGGCGTTCCGTACAGAGCAGCCTTAGCCGGCTCACACGTCGGACATTCTCCTCCGCAGCCGCCGCACACGTACCCAGGCAGGTCCAGCACCCACGCCTTACCAAACTCGTCGACACTGTTAGTTTGACTGCCTCCAGGAAGTTTGAAATCATCACCGCTTTTCTTGTTGTAGTCGCCACAAAGACCACTCATCCTACCCTGGTACGTTGAAGGAACAATCACCTCAATGTAATACACCGTGTCATAGAGGACTCTGAGTCCGAACTYGGTCTGGACGACTATGTTGCGACCTTCCTGCGTAACTGTGAGACGRCCCTCCTCTAGGGAGAGAGGGAGGTTGAGCAGCTCACCGTTCACCTGAAAGGGAAAATAAGGAGAACATGACTGTGAGGACTTTTCTGAGGAGATAATGATAAATAGGCKTTTTGGATGGATATGTTGAACTCACAAGGACTTTCCATTGCACACGCTGCTGGATGTTAATCACATAACCATAGACYGTGACTGCAATAGACTTTGTCACAGCCACTTTGCCATTTCCATACTTTTCGTTGCCCTGAGTGACCGTRAATGACGTGAGTTGCCCTTTGTCGTCATCGCTCACCTTGGCCAGAACATACACACACGTACCCTGGAAATCAAACTTCCTCCCATCGAAGGAAGTGTAATGTGGATCGCCAGAAGCCACACACTTCCCTTCCTCTTCCGGGTGGCATCCTTTCACCCCGTTCACGAGCTTACAAACTTCTCCTGGACGGCACTTAGCCGCTTGGCAAGTWATGGCCCCGTTCTCTCCACAGGTGCATTTCTGCATGCACTTGTCTTCGGGGTAGAAAGAGTCACCCAGCTTGTAGTACTGRCCATTGTAGGAGCAGCCACATTCTCTCACAGGCACACAGACATCCCCACTCAGCAGGTAGCCTTGGTCGCACTCACAGGCTTCTACACAGCTCCTGTGGCAGGTGGTAAAAGAGGCTAAGCTAGCGCAGGTTGATGGGCAGCCAGTGGCGCACAAGGTGTAATGGCTGTTAGCGGGACACACCATTGCTGTTGGATAYGACAGAAAGAAATTACAGATTACAGGTTGTGATGAAATTCATCTCACTATAACTGCTCTGCTTGCCAAAGTTTTAAACCAAAGTTGTGTGACCTGTTAGCACTCAGATTGATATAATGACTRATCTACTACCACACCAAATTCTAGCTTAATAACTTTAAAATTGACAGAGTTAGACATTTGTGTTTGCATATAATAGGTTTTCCTATCTTTACAAGTACTTTGCATGGACTTCCATTCACTTTCCATTTATTTCTATAACCTAACCCTTACCCTAAACCTAACCACCCCTCAAGTCACACTTTAGTCCTAAACCTAGCCCCCTACCCAAAAATCCCAAATCGCCATTTAAACATGTGGGGCCCAGGCTTTTGGCCCCTTAAGAAGCACTGGGTCCTCACCAGGTAGGTGTGTCCCTATACCAGTTTTTCTCAAACTGAGTATGAGTACTCCCTGATACCAGAGTTGTAAAGTAACTAAGTACAAAACTTTGTTATTGTACTTAAGTAGAATTTTTGGGTATCTGTACTTTACTTGAGTAATTATTTTTCAGCCTACTTTTTACTTCTAATTCTTACATTTTAAAAAAGGCAAGAAGTAGAAAGTTATTACTTTAATTTCATTTTTGCTCGTTTTCATTCCAGCTTGTTATTATAAAAAATAAAAACTATCCATATAAACTGTGCCTCCTAGATAGAGTGMATTTAATTGTGGTTTAATGAGAAGTATAAATA